GATGATGAGATCAAGTCTTCGGTAACAAAACAGGCCAATAAAGCATTGAAGACCGTGGTTGAAGGACACGAAGTTGCTCTACGCGAAGTGAGCGGTATCAAATCAGGCCAGAATTATCTTGTGGACCTCGAGATGACCGTACCTGGTGCGTGGTCTGTTGACGCAACGCAGCAAGTCGAAGATGCGGTGCGGACTCAAGTCGGAGGGAAAGTACGCGGTGTCAGAAGAGTTCGCATCCGATTCTCACCCAAGGAGGCTGCCGCCAAGGCAAGGTTTGACGACTTTATCCCTGGGACTGTGGTTCTGCCACCAGAGACCGAGGAGGATGCGTCTGAGGCAGAGGGCGAGTCGAACCACAATCATGAGCATCACGAGCATCACGATCACAAGAGCAGTGGTCATGTTAATGAACCCAATGGCTCCCACGAACAAGGCGATGGTCTCAGGAACAGAAGCAAGCAATAGAGTGGAGGATGCCCTGTCAGAAGCGAGACTTTAGCCTGGGATCCTGGGGAACGATCACGGCCATGCTGCATCTTGTTCTCGTCGAAGCTGCACTTTAGTACGACAAGTCCAAGCCAACCTTGCCCCTTGACTGGGGTCTAGCTCGGCTTCTTGGGGTCTGAGCTGCGGGCCAGTGGAGCCTGGCCGGTTGAGAGCCGTAAGAGGTTCAGACTAGGATCTCTCAATAGCCGGCATCTGTCGACCTGACCGTCGGTGAAGGAAGACCGATGGCATCTGCATGTGCATATGCAGTAAAAAAGTGCACCTCCTTTTCTTTCTCGTGACTTGACTATCTTGTTCCGGATCAGGGTCGGAATTGACATTGAAGCAATTGGTGTAATAGAGCAGACCATAGACATATGTATCTTGAAGAGGAAGAGAAGGTGTAAGGAAGTGTGTTTCGCGGGGCACATAACTTGAAAGGTTCAAGAGGGAGGGAGGATCTACACTCCTAAAATCCAACAACAACTCATGAGATTTGGACTAGGTAGTATGTTACACAGACTGTAATGGTGTGTGTACACTATGTACGGATAGAAAATGCAGATAAGAGAGGTACATTCAGGTCATGCTTGTGGCGTTTTTCAGCCTAGATGCGCCCCAACAGGAGCAGATGGACTCGGACGGAGAATAAGAGGAGTAAAATCGAACTGGCCATGATGTCGAACAAGATGATGAGATTCCAGGCGGCAAGGATGTCACCGGACCTGAATGACCCCCACGTTTGAGGCTCATGGCTATTATTGTATAGGTAACTTTCAGCACATCAGCCCAAATGCGCTTGAAGCTGGAGTAGAGAAATAATTCCAGCGACCTTCTGTATCCAGAGTCAAGAAGAGACAATTCTTATAGAAGCCGAATTCAATTTCCTCACGCCCCCTTCTTGCTGTCAGTTAGAAGCGCTCGCTATTCATTGGCTTGGCTTTGTTCACGAGGAGCAACCAGACTTTGAGAGGTCACGGGTTCTATTGGCCGGGATATAAACTGAAGATGGGACTGGGGTGGGAGCTGTTGATGGATTTAGGCTAATTGCAGATAGAGCGCTAGAATTGAAGGAAGAAGAAAGCGAAGACTTGATTGTTGAGAATATTCATTGTCATGATATGACAGTGAGCTTTTGATATTTATATAGTTAACTATGGTTATTTTTTGCTCATTAATTGGAACTGAAGGTTTTCTTGAGGCAGAGAGTTAAGAAGAGTGTCACATAGCTACAAGTCTCTTGGCCATGCTAATCTTCCTAACAGTCTTATTCTACCATGATACTTCTTTTTCCAAGACTTTTGTACTGTCCGTCCCTGGTGATCAATTCCTATTCTTCCGTTCCCACACCCCCTTCGGCTTGATCCGTATCACGACTTGCCTGAATGTGAATGCTTAAAAAGGGTTCTCAGGTGTTGAGTGTCGTGTTTGCAAATGGGCAAGGTAGGCAGGCATCTTATTATATCCGTACACGCCCCTCCCAACGCTAGCCCAGGCTTCCTTTTATCGATCATCAAGGGTCCAGTCTCGATGAAAAACTGGGGTTGGCTCGTTTTGGTTGAGCGACTCATTCAGCGGCGGACAAGACAAACCCCACGTTGATACGGATGATGGAAAGTGAGAGAAAAAATCTCCATATTTTTTTTTGAGAGTTACGTAGGTACCTAGGTACTAAGGTAGTGTAGTTTGTTTTTCTGATGGTATCTCTAAGTACTAGCTAGGAATTGGATAATTGCTTGACAAGAGAGACCGAGAGAGGGAGAGAGGGAGAGAGAGAGAATATGTCAAAAAAAAAAAAAAACTACAGATTGTTCATTTTAGGCAAAGATGACCCAGCTATCAGGTAATCTATATGCAATAATTATCTAGGTACCTGGCAGCAAATACCTAGGTAGACAGGCGGATATATTCCCCGGGCATGCAATTGTGTTCATATGACCTCTGCCCAATTTTTACAGCATGATTTTGATGACTATTTGTCTTTGTGTAGGTAAATGGATAAAGTAAGAGCACAGAATTCTTATTAGCTTCCAGTTGTATGGGTGTATCATTTTGGTATGGCACTGGCATTACTGCATACACGCCTTACAGTTAATAATACTAGCTTTGGAGTTGATTCTGATGCATGTTACCCACCAAAGACAACCTTTTAGTGTGTGTCTATCTCATCCTTCCCTGTTGGAGGGTGGCGGTCTAACACGATGCAGTTACTTGTACTGTCCTGGACTGGATTGGCAGTGAGTGAGTGAGTGAGTGACTGCTCAGCTAAGGCAAGGCACACGCGTTATAAGCTATAAAGCCCAGCTCGTGGCTTTTTCTGGTGTTTTCCCTGTCTCACACAACTTGGCCCATATTCCTTCTATTCCACCGAGACTCTTCACACGCACGCACTTACAAGATTGTCAATTCTTACGTCACCTACTGAATTGGCTCTTATTACCAGTACTTCGCCATCTCGCTACCATTTACGTCGGCCGTGGTTGGCGCCCTTGGATATAGTATAGTATCCTCACCTAGCTAGGTACCTAGATTCAACAGCTCGACATTTACCCGAAGCTATTCACAATGCCGTTTCTTGCTCGATCCAACTCCCCAGATCAGTCCTCGGACTTTAAGCCACTATACCTCGGCTTCGATCTGTCGACTCAGCAGCTCAAAGGCACGTCAGCCAGATTCTCAGCTGCCGGCGCAATTCGCTAACCCATATCCAGCCTTGGTTGTCGATTCAGACCTCAAGGTCAAAGGTGAAGCCAAGGTCGACTTCGACAAGGACTTTGGCCACAAATATGGCATCAAGAAAGGTGTCCATGTCTACGAGGAGACAGGCGAGGTCTATGCTCCAGTTGCCATGTGGCTGGAGTCTGTAGATCTCGTCCTGGACCGATTGGCCGAGTCTATGCCTGTTCCTCTGTCTCATATCCGCGGTATCAGCGGCTCTTGTCAGCAGCATGGCAGTGTCTATTGGAATGGCAATGCCTACGAGATTCTTCACCATCTTGATCCTCGCCTCCCTCTGGTTGTTCAGCTACCACAGGCCCTTTCCCATCAATGGTCGCCCAATTGGCAGGATCAGAGCACCCAGGCTGAATGTGACGCTTTTGATGCTGCTCTTGGGGGTCGCCAGAAGCTTGCTGAGGTGACAGGCAGTGGTGCTCACCACGTGAGTTGAGATCCCCCAATAGCCAGAGAAGACCAGATTTTAACCAATCTACCAGCGATTTACTGGGACCCAGATTATGCGCCTTAAGAAGGACCTCCCAGACATGTACGCCAAGACAGCTCACATTTCCCTCGTCTCGTCATGGCTGGCATCCGTCTTCCTCGGCGCCATCGCCCCCATGGATGTCAGCGATGTCTGCGGTATGAACCTTTGGGACATGTCCCGCCAAACATACAGCGAACCTCTTCTCGAGCTTGCTGCTGGGAGCAAGCGCGATGCCCTCAACCTACGAAAGAAACTGGGTGAGCCTTGCCTCGATGGCGCTGCTGTGTTGGGCTCTATCTCTCCCTATTTCGTAGACCGCCACGGTTTCCACCCCGACTGCCAGATCACACCATTCACCGGCGATAACCCCGGAACTATTCTCGCCCTTCCCCTTCGGCCTCTCGACGCCATTGTCTCTCTTGGTACTTCGACGACATTCCTCATGAACACACCAAAGTACAAGCCTGATGGCGCTTACCACTTCTTCAACCACCCCACAACCGATGGTCACTACATGTTTATGTTGTGCTACAAGAACGGAGGCCTAGCACGTGAGCGAGTGCGAGACCAACTTCCCAAGCCCGAGAACGGCCCTACCGGCTGGGAGAACTTCAATAAGGCCATCGAGAACACTCCTGCTCTGGGCGCTGCCAAGGAGGACGATAGGCGCAAGCTTGGTCTATATTTCTACCTCACCGAAGTGGTACCCAATATCCGTGCAGGCACTTGGCGATACTCCTGCGAGCCTGATGGCTCTGACCTTCAGGAAGTCAAGGGAGGATGGGACAAGGAGACTGACGCTCGAGTGATTGTTGAGTCTCAGGCCCTATCTATGCGCCTACGCTCTCAGAACCTGGTGGAGAGCACTCGTCCCGGCCTACCAGCTCAGCCCCGTCGTATCTACCTCGTCGGAGGTGGCTCTCTGAACCCAGCCATCGCCCGCGTCATTGGCGAGGTCCTCGGCGGCAGCGACGGTGTTTACAAGCTCGATGTTGGTGGCAATGCCTGCGCCCTTGGCGGAGCCTACAAGGCTCTTTGGGCTCTCGAGCGCCAGCCAAACGAGACATTCGACGAGCTCATTGGTAAGCGATGGACTGAGGAGGGGAACATCCAGCGCATTGACGACGGCTACCGCGAGGGAACCTATCAAAAGTACGGCAACGTTCTTGGAGCCTTCGAAGGCCTGGAGAACAAGATCCTCACCGAGCAGGCTTTGGAGTCAAAGGACGGACGAAGACGGTCGCAGGAGAGTGCTTGATTTAAAACTCAGGGTATCTAATGTCTAAAATGGAGGAGTTTGTCTATGTCATTATCTAACGTACTTGCTCATGAAGCGCCTATGAAAGTCGGAACGGAGGAGATCCTAAAGGTCTGGGTTAGCGAACGATGTCTCTCTGCATATTTGAAGTAAGAAAAAGAAAAAGAGAAAGGAAAAGAAAAGAAACGCATATAGAACTGACTCGCTGGCAAAGAATGCTTTGCGAGCGGAAGAATCACAAGACTTACGTTTACGAACTCCTTTTTCTTGCCCTTGTCTTCTGTGCCACGTGCCTGGTTCTTGAACACCACGTCGTCGTCCCAGCGGCGCTTCATATTGAAATCTTGTTTGTTGAGGAGAGGATTTCCCAGGGCAATATCGCGTTCTCGGGCCTCTTCCTCTTCTTTGAGTCGCTCGGCCTCCTGTGACGTGTATCAGCAAATCATTTATCTGCATCTGAGAATCGCTCAAACTTACCTCTTTCTTCTTTCTCTCCTCTCGCTCTCTTCGTACACGGTCCAACTCTCTCTGTAGCTCTGCATCAGAGTCATCATCGCTATCCTCGTCGTCTTCACTGTCGTCGTCGTCGTCCTCTTCGCTATCGTCGGCATCGATGTCCCTTGTTTCTGCTAAGATCCGCCGTCTCTTAGCCTCTAAATCTTCTCCCTCACCATCAGCACTTGGAAGCGCTCGCTTCGCGCCATTAGACACGCTGGTTTCGTCGTCCTCGTCGGCATCATCAACCAGGGCAGGGGCACCGTTCTTCTTGGTGAAATGGGCGGCTTCGGCAGCGAGGAGCTCTGCAGCGAGGTCGCGCGTGGGTTCGTCAGCATCGCCGCCTTGACCGGCTTGACGATATTTGAGTTGGGTGTGGGCTGGGAGGAGGCGTTGATGGTAGGCTGGACCTCGGAGGGCTTCTTTGCCACGGGCCTGTCAATGTCAGTATGCGCTGAAGAAATATAAGGGATAATACGGACCGGATCGAACGTAGGTCTATGCGCGGTAGTCATGGCGAAAGCTCCTCAATAGATTCTTGAAGAAATGGTGTTTCAATGTCAATAAGAAGTCTTGAACATTGCCGACGCGAGGCGTACAACGAGAAGCAGGCCTACCGTAAATGGTACTTCACCGCCCGGCAGAATTTCCACAATGTTTCTCTCTTTCTATTACGCTTTGGCAGTTCATAGACACAGCATTTCCTGTCACGAAATATTCACACAAAAATAATAGTCAATCATGCCTCGCGAAGCTGAACCTTCTCTATCTGAGAGGACTTTTGTCACCCAAGCACTCGATGAGGGTTTGCGATTAGACGGGCGCAAATTCGACGAGTTTCGGCCTCTTCAACTCACCTTTGGAGACGAATATGGAGTCGCGGAAGTCAAGTATGGAAAAACAAGGTATTTCACTATTATATCTTGGTGATATATATTTCTTGCTAATGAAAGTCTTAGAGTTCTAGCAAAGGTTTCGGCAGAAGTCACCGTGCCATACTCAGACCGTCCCTTTGACGGAGTTTTCACAATCACATCAGAACTCAGTCCCATGGTTGCCCCTTCATATGAGGTCAACCGCCCTTCACTCGAGGAGGTTCTTCTCTCCAGGCTTCTCGAGAAAACAATCAGAAGATCTGGTGCGCTAGACACCGAGTCACTATGCCTCATCGCCGGCCAGAAATGTTGGTCTATCAGAGTCGATCTTCACGTCCTCACGCATGATGGAAACCTTACAGACGCGGCTTGCCTAGCAGTTGTCGCAGCTCTCCGACATTTCCGCAAGCCAGATTCCAGCATCGAGGGAGAAAACCTTACCATATACACACCTGCTGAGCGAGAGCCCGTGCCTCTAAGCTGGCTTCACTCCCCTTTCTGTGTCACCTTCAGCTTCTTTGGCGAAGATGGAAGCCAGGTCCTCGTTGATACCAACTGGCTTGAGGAGCAACTGCGAGTTTCTCACTGCACATACAGTCTCAACAAGCATGGCGAGATTTGTCAGATTGCCAAACTGGGAGGAACCTCTCTTGACGCACCACTCTTCATCCAGTGTGCTCAAGGAGCACTCAACCGATCTAAGGAGCTATCTGACCTAGTGGATAGTAAGCTGGCTGAGGACGCGAAGCGGAGGGACAAAGGAGGACTCATGGCTGAGTTGACAGCCGAGAACGACAGGTGAGAGGCTAACATCTGCAACTTAATACCAAGAAAAGCAATAAACCCAGAGGAAAATAGAAACCATGATACCCCGCAAAACGTTCGCCCAGTGTTTCCCGTGCTTCACGGCTAAAACAGTGATTTACTGATGTTCCAAACAAACTCCGATCCATACGCTAAACCAGGTACTGTCGTAGCTTATAAGCTCTAGTGATCGCACATAAAGGCCACTCATGTTAGAAACTATCGCATCACAGGCGGTCGAGACTCCTTGTTCCATTGTACTCTGGTCCTTACCCACTCGATAGCTTCTCGGACTCCGTCGCCAGTAAGCGCACTCATTGCCAGCACACGAGAGTCGCGGACAGCGGACCCCTTGTCTCCCTCCATAACCTTCTTTACTAGGCCCTCCTTGATTCGTATTGTCTCGACACAATCCTCGCGATCCTGCTTGTTTGCTAGTATTAGAAGTGGTACCCCTTCAGTTTCAGAGTGTTGTAGGACGTCCTCGAGGACTAGCCGACACTCCTCCAGTCTGCCAACGTTCCCTTCATGCTCAATGTTTCCGTCGCCAATATCTGTGCTGTCGATGATGAAGACTATAGCATGGCAGCTTGCATAGTAACTCTCCCAGAGCTTTCGGAGCGAGTGCTGACCGCCTACGTCCCAAAGCTTGAGGTACATGTCTTGAAGGGGTATCGTCGAAACGTTCTGGCCTACGGTGGGTACTGTCTTGAGCTTCGGGTCGGGTCTGTTTGGTAGAAACATGGACTTGACTTGTTCGTGAAAGGTGGTTTTTCCGGCATTGTCAAGGCCTAGAAGAATTACAGAGTATTCTAGCAAGATAGCGAGATTAGCGTTTCGAGGGAAGAAATCATGGAGTGTTGAAGGTACCTTCTTTGCTGGTCGCATAGAGGTAAATGCCTTTGGCGAGGTGATACATCGTGATCGCGAGTGCTCCAGCAGATTTTGTGCGTTATTGACTTCGTGATTTTCAATGTTCGTCGTAGACTAGACAGCGGAGTTTTTCGGCTAACGTTACCTAGGTTGTGAAGTTGACAGCTTCCCATGGATGGAAGTGAAGGCTTTAAGTCTAAGTGCAGAGGCTCCGGGGATATGACAGCGTAGGTTGTCGTCCCCTGCCCCTCCCAGGGGCTAAATTCCAGTTTGATTAGTGGATTGACCTACTGAAGAGCCTCAGCAATCCCCCACCAACGGCCCCGCTAGCGTTCATGGATGCAATACATGGGAACTGATGATCAAGGACTGTAAGTTTGTCGGTGACCCTAAGTTAACTAGTAGGTAGACCACGAAGCCACTGATGGTTACCCTGGTTAGCAAAGCATAGGTACCTACTTTTCTTGGGCAGATGGGGTCCTATGCTGTACGAATTGAAAGCAAACTTGACCCCAAGGTTGGACATGTTTGCTTGTTTCTTTGTTTCAAGTCCCGAGGTTGGTATCACTTAGCATAATGGGACATACTACATGTATACAGGAGGTAATATATTATGATAACTTCATAGTGGGACGACCTTAGGTCATCTTTCTCCTCGATGCTGCTATAATTCATCGAGGAAAACAGTATTCAGGTTGACTCCCTACCGGTTAGCATATGTCTTCGAATTTGGGTGTTTAGAGGTCAACTACCTTTGATCAACCCGGTCTAGATGTGAACAACAACAACCTAGGGTTGGTAGGGTAGGTAGGTAGGTAATCCTGTGCATCGGAGATGAGCCAATCAGAGTCTTGAACTGTTGAAAGCTGTCGCCTTTCATCTGATTGTACCTACTAATCTCGAGGTGGCTACTATTGGCCCACCTCGCACTTAAGGTAGGTAGCTTAGTCCGATTAGGGAGCCCATACCTTCCCTTAACCTTGGGCTACCTAGGTACCTAGTAAGTTAGTAGTTATCCCTCTAGCTTCCAATCGCATTACCCAGTCCAGGGCACGCCAACTTGTTCCCTCCAACATTCGCTATTTTGCTGCCTGGACTCTTCTTTCGTGTCGACGTCGTCAGCAGCAGCAGCAACAAAATCTACAAGTAATTCGTCCTGCGGTTCCAATACCGCTTCCTCTCGATACTCGTGCTCCCTTGCGAATGTTCCAGTGTCGCAGCTTACGAGGCTCGCGCAAGGGGTTTCCCACTTGATCTGAACGATCGCGACGGCTTTAAATTATCGCAAAGCGACGGAGACCGGACACGGAGACGACGCAAATACAATGGCTTCCGCAAGGCTCGTCGGAATGGGCTTCCAGCTCCTTAGTACGCTATTCCTCACCAATGGAGTTCGACTCTGGTTCCGCAACGTGAGACTGACGAATCGAACATAGAGCGAGCGACCGACGAAGAGAGCGATCCTGAGGGTGCGTTTTCCCATTCGAAAAGAGGCAATCCACCACAAGAAATACTGACGATGACCTCCAGAGGGCGACTCTGCTCAGAAGGAATTGTTCGCGGCGTGGGCGCTCTTCATCTCGATTATGCTACTCATTATTGCTTTCTTCACAAGCTATATGCTGCAGATGAAGAAGGTCACTGCTATACATGAAACGGTTATATCCATCTTTGCTGGTGCGCTCCCTGAAATCAACTACCGAGGATCAATGGCTCACAGGTCTTCTCTTTGCAGGAATGGTTGTTGGGCTTGTCTTGATGATAGCTTCTGGCGACTCTATTCGCAACATGATCAGTTTCGACTACCAAATCTTCTTCAACCTTCTTCTGCCACCTATTATTCTATCCTCGGGCTATGAGCTACATCAGGCCAACTTCTTCCGCAACATTGGCACCATCTTGACTTTTGCCTTTGCTGGAACCTTTCTGTCGGCTGTCGTTATTGGCTTGATCCTGTACATCTTTACACTCCTCCCCGGATCGCTGGGCATGACCTTTGTCGATGCGATCTCCGTGGGCGCAACTCTCTCCGCTACTGACCCCGTCACTATTCTCGCAATCTTCAACACCTACAAGGTTGACCCCAAGCTGTATACCATCATCTTTGGAGAGTCGATCCTCAATGACGCTATCGCCATTGTCATTTTCGAAACTGCGCAGAAGTACAAGAAGGGCGAGGCTGCTAATCTCGGCATCGTCAGCTTCTTTGAAGGCACGGGAATCTTTTTGCTCGTCTTCTTCTGCAGCATGTTCATTGGCTTCATTGTTGGCGTTGGCACTGCTTTGCTGCTCAAGTTTACCTACCTTCGCCGTATTCCCAAGATTGAGAGTTGTTTGATTGTCTTGATCGCCTACGCCACTTACTTCTTCTCTCACGGCCTTCACATGTCTGGTATGTCACTCCTGTCTTGGCTTGTGCTACACACATTCTAATTTCCATGCAGGTATTGTGTCGTTGCTTTTCTGTGGTATCACACTTAAGCACTATGCCTATTTCAACATGTCCCGCCGAACTCAACTCACCACCAAGTTCATCTTTCAGATCTTGTCGCAGTTGTCCGAGAACTTCATCTTCATTTACCTGGGACTGGCTTTGTTCACCGACAACAACCTCTCATTCCAGCCGCCTCTCATCATTGTCACTATTCTGGCTGTCTGCGCTGCCAGATGGGTAGCTGTATTCCCTTTGTCCAAGGCTATTAACTGGTTCATCCGATATCGCGCCAGCAGACGTGGCCAAGAGGTTGGTGACGAGCTGCCCTATAACTACCAGGCCATGCTCTACTGGGCTGGACTCCGTGGAGCTGTCGGCGTGGCGCTGGCTGCTTTGCTCACTGGCGACAACGCGCCCGCACTTAGAGCTACTGTTCTGGTTGTTGTCGTGCTTACTGTCATCATTTTTGGTGGTACGACCGCTCGAATGCTTGAGATCCTGGGTATCCGGACTGGCGTTGTTGAGGAAGTTGACAGTGACGATGAGTTCGACATCGAGACCTTTGGCGGAGGCCTTCAGGTCAAGCGTTCAGGAACAGGGATCGGATATAATCCTCGCCGGAATGGCAGCGTTGCCCTTGGCAGTCTCGAGGCTGGCCAGTCTGCTAGTTATGTCTCAGGCGCCTCGTCCCCGCACACTGGTGGCCGCCCTGTTAGCAAGAGTCGAAAGAATTCTATCCCAGAACGATCCGATCTCCTTCGCCATAACGATGATTCCGACATTGGTAGTGATATTGACGTCTCCGACCTGCCTCCGCCAGCCCGACGATCACCACTGCCACGGGCTAGCACCGCTCCTCCATCTCGAGTAGACAGTGCATATGCAACTCCCACGACAGAGACACCCGGTGGCCAACCTATAACAGCAACCAATGCCCTCCGACAGCTCTGGTCCTCGGAAGATCCGGCCAGTGTGTTTCACCACCTGGACGAGGACTTCATCAAGCCCAGGCTACTGCTTCAAGGTGATAGCTCTAGGGGCGGGCACGGTGGACCAAGCTGAGTGAGCCATAGCAAATGATGAATATTCGTGAGAGTCCCGCGTCGAGGCGGGCTGTATCATCTTATGTGCATGAACGGCGTTGGGTTTTACTAGTATAGACATGGCATTGACGTTAGATAAATGATGTGTTTATTCTATCTTCTTGTGCTCGTGTTTCCTATTCATCGTGTCACTTGCAGATGCGCGATATGGTGAATGCAATTGCTTATGAGGGTGGTGTTTTATTTTAATCGCCTTGAACAGACGATGACTTCGAGGCTTAGCGTAATGATACGCCTATTTCATGCCTTGAATAATTAATAAAATGTATCTACAGATGATCTCCAACTCATCACGAATATGCCATACCAACCATCCGTTCTCATACATAAAAAGGGTAAGCAACTGTACAGCCAGAACCAGAATGATGCCCTTTCTTTTTGCCTGCACGCTTTTTTCATGACAAGATCAACACCAATATTCATCGCTTCCCATGCACCAACCAAACCATTGGTTCTAGAACCCAAACAAAAAACCTTCCTTTATTTTGCCCGTTTTGTACGATTAGCCTGCCGACGGTGTAGCACTGCCGCTTGCCTGCCTTTGTTGTTGTTGTTGTTGCTGAGCTTGGGCCTGAGCCTGGGCTTGCCCTTGCTGTTGCTGTTGAGGCTGCTGTTGTTTCGCTTGTTGGTGCTGCTGGTGAAGCTGCTGGTGTTGTTGCCCAGGGCTACCAGCCGCTTGACTTGCCTGCTGCTGTTGCTGTTGGCGAAGCAAGGCGGCGTATTGATGAGGGCTTGTCGTGGCGGCGATGCTAGCAGCAAGTCCGCCTTGGCCGTTTGCTGTACCAGCAGCAGAGTTCATAGCAGTGCGCTGAGCCATCATAAGGCGTGTTAGATGCTCTGTTGCCATTTGGCGAATCTGATCAGGGGGTAGTGTCGGATTCTTAGTACGAAACTGGGCCTCGAGTTGAACAAGCTGAGCGGCAATACTAGGAGGCAGCTGTGCTTGTGGTCGTGGGGCTATTGAGCCAGCAGGACCAGCCGGCATATGAAGACCATTGGCCTGTGGTGAGCCGAGATTACCGGAGTTGAACTGGGCCATCATAGCCTGGGCGTTATTTATGAAGTTCTGCTGGTTCATTGCATTGGCCCCGTTGATGCCGTTAACACCATTTCGCATATTCAAGGGGGGACTCTGCTGGGAACCGTTCGCCCCTTGGCCAGGAGCGCCAGGGCCGCCTTGAGCGTGCTGCATCTGTGCCAAACGTTGTTGTTCGGAGATGCGCTGTGCACGCATCATCAAGTTGACGTCAGGCTGGGGATTTGGCATGGGCATGCGGTTGTGTTGTCCTTGCATTGCTTGCAATTGGGCTTGTTGCGCACTCGTCATCTGATTAGGTGGAACGAGCCCGCCAGCCATTTGAGACGGAACAGCCCCCATGCCATTGGGAGCAGGAGATTGCATGGGCATTCTAGGACGAGCTTGGCCGGCGGCGGCGGCGGCGGCAACAGCAAGCTGATTAGGTACATTAAGTCGGCCAACACCATTCATGCCATTGGCTGCTGCCACGGCGGCAGCGGCAGCAACTTGAGCTGCATTTTGACCGACATGCGCAGCTCCAGGAGTGCCAGCCATCTGAGCTGGACCTTGAGCCCTGGCTTGCAAGGCAGCCTGAGAGGATGTCAGCTTTGTGCTTCTGTTATAATATGTGGGACTTACTCGTCTTTGAGCTTCTTGCTTTGACGCATACTGCGCCATCTTTTCTGCCAGAGCTTGGTCTCGTTCATGTCGCATGATGCTGTAGTCTCTCGGTGTTTTGTTGGTGCGTTGTGATGCAGGATCATTGACCTTTTTATTGGCTGCATTCTGCGAAGCTGTGTGCTGTTGCTTCTGAGCAGCTGTCTCCCGTTTCTTCGCCAGCTTACGCATTGCGTCAAGAAGTGTGAGGTGCTTCTGATTCCGTCGTCTCTCCACTCTGACGGGAGTTGACGGAGGGCGTCTCCGTCCAGGCGTAACTGCGCCATTGGCTGGGTTAATTTGCTGTAACGCGAGCTGGTTTTGCTGTGCAATGAAATTCTGGGCGGCGGCGATACGTCCTGTATAGGCTTTGAAATATTGGGTCTTGGACATATCGGCTGGAAGTCCTTCGAGAGAAATCCATCTCTCAAAACATTCCCACGGGGACCGTCTCTCAGCACCCGAAGTAAAGCGAGATTTGGGTGCCAACATGCTGGCAATAAGGGACCAGTTGTAAGAGTATTCCCGGACAAGATTTCTAAGTTCATCATCCTCGTTGATTGTCCACTGAGAGGGGTTTCTGCATTCGAAGAAGCTCTGTAACGGCATAGGATATTCCGAAGGCGGTCGGAACTGATGGCCAACATAGAGGCGATCGCGAATATGCTTCATCTCAGGGTTAAATAGAGCCACCTCATCAGTAGCTGGTGGTAGAGGAAGGCTGGGTGAAGGACCACTACTGACGAAACCAGTCTCGCCCTCGTCATCAGAATCCTCGTTCTGGTAATCATATCGGCTACGCTTCCTTGGGGGACCATCTGAAACTAACTTCATGTGGCCTTCAACATACTTGCTCAGTGGTAGAGCTGGCCGTCGCCAATGAGCATCAGGATCCCACTCAGGACCTGTAAGGTCAAATTTGGGAACCTGGAGAGGCTTTCCAAACATGGGTAGCTCCTCCAGAAGTTGGTCTGCAGCAGCTGTTCGACGAAGTCCAAAGATAACATCGTCGTCTTGCAGAGAGAAGATGGCGGATGGTGCTATCGTCTCGGGAAAATCCTCAGTTAAATCATCCAGATTGTCGATAGACTCGACGTCTCCGCTTGAGATAAGATCAGGTGTGAGTTGATTTTCGCCCTCAACATCAGCCATCGAAGCGTCAGGGGCAGGCGGTGTCTTTGGGGGTATCACAGAAGAAACCTGCATCAGTTTTCGCTCTTCGGGGGTAGATTCGTGCCATTCTGCGCAAGCATATGCAAGGTTTTTTGCAACAGCCCTTTTCCATTTGCGTTCTTCTCGGAAATCAGTTCGCATCCATTTCATTTCTTGCAGCATGACATCCCAGTGTGACGGGGGACGTGTTGGCTCCGGGCAACGCTTGGGTTGCCGTAGAGACCACTTGTCATGCTGCTGCAAGTGGTAAACCCGGCGCAGAACTTTACAAGCCTGATGGTCCTGAATGGCAAGATTGGCATCAGGGGTAGTCACGGTCTTGTTGGCAGTGTACAATATCTTCTCAATGGGCTGCATCCAGGAGGAGCTGCCAGCGAATCCCTGGACGAAAAGGGGAGTGTAGTAGTCCTCGGTCGGTATGACAGGATCGCGCTGACTGGCCACTATCGATCGTTCATCTGCTTTCTTGGATTGCTTTCCGAAAACAACAGTCGAGGGCTGGCTTCGTGACCTCTGCCTTTGATGAGCAGAGATATGGCGATGTCTTAAGCTTGGCGATTTGGGTGTCGAAGTCAAGGGGGTCAATTGACTGTCCAGGCTTTTGTTGGTCGAAGTATGCTCTAAGGACGGGGTTTGTCGAGGAGTTGCACCGACAATCTCGCTGACTGACTTTGGGCGCATCGCCCCGGAGGAAACTCTAGTAACAGCGCGCTCAACCTTTGGGGGGGACTCTTTGGGTGCCGACTCCACAGGTCCAGTGGCAACATCAGAAACGGGGGCTGGCGTAGGTGTTGACGGGGCTTTCTCGGTAGCCTGTGTACTCCCATCTAATTTAACCTCTTGACTTTGAGTTTGAGCTTGAATGGTTGCTTTGGGCTCAGGGACATCCACATCCATATGCTCAGGGGGTTCCTCTTGACTATCTGGAATCTCTTTAATGCCTGGCGCTTCAACTGAATTCTCGAATGCGTTGACTCGTGCTATATCGATATCAGACTTAGCCTGAGTACTGTCTTCTTTGACTTGTTCGTTAGCATTGGGTGCAATCGGTTGAACAACAACATCATTGGCACCCAGCATATCAACATCTTCCGAAACTGGCGCTGAAGTGACGGGTTTTGTTTGCTGGCTAGTACTCGCTGCTGTTGCTGTTTCCGTTGCCGTTGCCTCCGCCGCAACACTCGATCGTATAGATTCCTGCAGCAATTGAGCTTCAGCAGAGTCAGGGGGTGCTTCCAGCACACGATTTTGTATGTCTTGGTTCAAAGTAGCCTCGACATCATGACTCGATTCTTTCTCATCATCTTTCTCATGAACCCCCTCGTCTACCTCATCCTCGGTTGGTTTCTCTTCGGTTGGCTCCACAAACTGTGGTCCCTCATGCTCTGGGCTTGTGTCTGTCGAAGCATCGTCGTGAACCGCGGGCGTAGTTGCGCTTTGTGCAGTTGAACCAGGTGAAGACAAGGCATCAGGCGCACGAGCGGCATCTGTGGGCGGCTTGACTGTCAACGCGCCACCTCTAGCATCGGATGAAGTACTGGGCCCTCGAGTTGTTTTCTCCGCCGTCGATACACCTGGCCTAGCATTTTCTCCCTTTGTCCCCGATTCAAAAGTAACTTGAGGCTGACGTGGTGCAGGTGTGTCTGAAGCCTCTGAGGCATTGGGTATATCCTCCGCTTTCGATTTTGGATTTGCGTTGGTATCAGTAGCGGTTTGGGTCATAGGACTAGTCGTCAAGGTCGGCTCTACAATCGCATCTTCAGGTAGGGGTACAGGTTGGCTTGTCGGTGTAGGCAGAGAGCTCGCTTTGTCGGTCGTGGCGGGATCTGTCGAAGGCGGAGGACTCGGCGTTCGTTTTGAAGGTGTATCGCCAACTTTGGGAGGTTGGTAAGCTCCATTAGATTGTTCCTTGTTCTGCACATTCGCAGTCTCGGGTTTGCTCGCATCCTCGAGCGTCCGTTTCGGCGTGGACTCGGGTGCAATGAATATGGCTTTTGCCAGAGACTTTTTAAAGAGTTCAAGCGAGATCGGTGGTCTCGCTGGGATGCTGGCTTCGTTCAGTGTTTTGCCTCTGTACCCATGTTAGTACATTATACATATTGGCGGGCCGACACGCGCGCAAATCAATTTGGGAAAACGCGCAATAGTATCGCAGGACGTACTGGATGATATCGTTGGCTTGCAAGAACTGCCATTCTGCTGGTGTTGTGGTCGGCGCGTCGGGGTTGGTCAAGACTGGGTGTGGGAGACCCTCGGACTGTGTCGCAACTGCGAACAGCTCGCGCAGCTTGCGCTTCCGCGACGTCACAATTGAACTGAGGCAAGTTAGCAGCCCGAAAAATATATCTTGACGATCGGAAAAATCGGCTCTTTCGTCTGAGCCCATACTGACCTGCACTCATTGCGCTTTGTTTGAAGCAGCCTTGATAGATCGGCGGCTCCGACCTCAGTCATAGCATCGACGGCCGCGACATCCGTTTTTGGACGAAACGGACGTTGCAAAATAATATTCCTGAGCGCCTGAGATGAATGCAGGTGTTTTATAGGATGAAAGACGCTGTTGTTGATTGTTTTTTGGGTGTCGTTGTTGAAGGCGACGTCGCTGGAGGGCGTCAAAATTTCTGTCTCTGGGGAGACGATAACCGAGCGGCCTGTTGGTGGTTTACAGCTCAATGCGCTGAAAGCAGTGGAGCCTAGTTAGAGCGTGAGTGCACGGGGGGGCGCTGGGCGCTGTAGGCTGGGGAAAGTATCGGGGAGGGGGGATGTTGGTTAATGACCCAGCTTAGGGGGGCAATCAAACAGGCGTCAGCGAATAGTGGGTGTCAAGCCAGCGGTGGGTGGGAGAGGGAAGAGCAAGGTTCAGGATAAGGCCAAGATTAGAAAGAGGAGAGACAATTTGTTATGCCAGAAAATACCATGATTCGTGATCAATTGATAAGGCTAATAACAGATTTCCTTACGCTTGCGGCGCCAACATGGTAGTGTGCATAACGCTAGTGAACAGAAAGGGGGCAGGGGGGGAAGAGAATGGCAATGCACCCTTGTACATGTGCAGTACTAGAGAAGGTACCTACCTACCTAGTACCTACTAAGAGTACCAACCCAACCCAATTCCATACAGTATGAGCCAACTAACTAGAACCTACCAGAAACCAAAGAGAAGTGAGTGACGAGTCCTGTACGTAACAAAGTTAGTGTCTGCTCTTCTTTATTATATCAATGATAGCAATCGTTTCATATAAATAGAATCCGAGTGTAAATGGAGGCGCAAACCTAGTGCCTGTTACACTTTAACACATGATCTTCTCTTGTTATTACGATCACTCAGGGCTGAAATCTCTACTCCTCTTCTTATTCAGCCACTGGTCTTGGACTTGGAATAAAATGTTGCTGTCCGACAAGTTCCGGAGGAGGAAGTCGTGGAAAGTCTCATAACACAGCACTTTTCGGCAATATGGAACATCATAAGTAACTAGTACCTTAGTGAAGTGCAGTGAATTTAAAGATTGGATATCTATAAGTTTAAAAGCAAAAAAAGTTTCCTGATATGCAAGATATCACTCGTCTAGAGATATCTAATTCTCAATGATAATTATCTACGATGGTTCCTGTTGGTTAGAGTTGTTTTATACATTAGTACAAATGGCACACATGGTAGGTACCTAAGTATGGGGGAAATGCAGAATTGCTGGTACTGGCTACATCTGAAAGTGTATTGAACCAAGAAAACTCAGGACTCCAATCTTGACAAATAAAATTACTCGGGTAGCCTATCATAAGTTTAGGGTGCCTTTTGCCGAGTTTATTTTGATACCCCATCTACCCGTGTTACCTAGGTAGGTACCTATGCTATGGAGGGCTGTTGTTTCCTACTACCAACTTAGGTACCTAGGTACCCTAGTATCCCAGCGTAGTGGGTGGCCGATTCTGCACCGCCACAAATATAGCACGCCACAGTGATGGTGCCTGCGAGCTGATGTCTTGAAAATAATTCCATCTTCCCAAGTGAACTCACGCAGTTTCAATCAAAACATCCGCCAAAATGACCGACCAGAACAAACCTCCGACTCCGCGCATAGCAATCAAGTTCGGCGCTACGTCTAGCAATAAAAACTCGACGAAAGCATCAAAACCAAATCCATCCTCGTCGCTAGGGAAGCGGCCACGACGTCACGCTTTGGGGGGCGCTTCCGACTCTGAGGATGATGATTCTGAGCATCGAGGACAGCATGAGAAGATCACAGGCTTTGGGGCGGATGGAGCAGAGACGGAGCGCAAGGCCAAAGACTCGAGGACGGAAAAGAAAGAATATGTGATGGCCCGACTGCCGAATCACGACTGGAGATCAGAGGCCAAAGCCCAGAGGAAGAGCAAGAGTTCGCTACCCGAGGAGGCAAGAGCGCAGCAAAACAACGCAGCCGCCGAGACGGAACCTGCGGATCAGGATAAGGGAATCAAATGGGGTCTGACGATTAAGGAGAAGACTGAGGACGCCAACAAAGATGTTGGATCAGAGTCTAAGGAGAAGCCAGTCTCCAATGATGGCAACCAGAAAAAGCCACCGCCCAAACGAACAGCAGACGACGAAGCATTGGACGCTCTACTAGGCAACAAGGAGGATGACAAAAAGATCATCCATCCAAGCGAAGAGGACGCCTACCGTCACGACGTCCAAGGAGCAGCAGAGACGACCCTTGATGACTATGAAGCCATGCCAGTGGAAGAATTCGGCGCAGCTCTTCTCCGCGGTTTGGGCTGGGACGGAAAAACTCACGATACAGCCAAGGAAGTCAAGCGACGTCCGAACCAACTCGGCCTTGGCGGTACGGAGCTCAAGGGTGAAGAGAACCTCGGCGGATGGAATCAGAGAGGAAAGAAGAACAGACGACCGCGCTTGGATGAGTATCGCCGAGAGGAGAGTAAACGAAAGGAGGGTCGCTACCATGAGGATAGTTACAAGCGTGAGCGTGAGCGTGAGCATGAACGCGAGAGGGGTCGAGACAGCAGGCATGGGCATCGTGATCGTGATCGTGACCGAGACCGCGACCGTGATCGGAACAGGGACTACGACCGGCATCGGAGCCATCGGGACTATGATCGACGGCGATAATCAAGCAGTCGCAACTTCGCTATGAAGGCTTACCACCGGTTTCCCAACACGACACAATAATACCTCTGTTATCCGGGAAAGGGATCAATTCTTCCTGGAGATGCATTTTTACGTAGACCAAAAGTGATCCAAACGCAGAAGAAAACAAAAAGAAGAAGACGAAGCAGGACAAAGGAGATGCTCATATATTGCACAGACATGTAAGAATGACGCTTTAATCACGAAATCATACAGTTCAATAAGCTTACAGTGTGACTATAGTCTAAAACAGGATCCTTGGGTATATGATATGCGTTCAAAGACCACAGCAACCCAACGCCGTGCACTTCCCCATGAGCAAACGATACTACATTGCTGGCACGGTCAGTCTATCCATCTCAGCAGGTCCTTCATCTCCCCCGCCTGTCTTTGTGTTTTTCTCGGCATCAGCCAGCGATGTAAGGCGCTTTTCCTCCCTCGACTTCTTTGTTAAATTAAACGATCTCCGAATCGACATGCTTCGATTTCGCTCGGATTTTCCTCCATCACGGCCTCGGTCTCGATCCGGGTCTACCACATCTTCTAGGGCCTTTCCCTGTTTGAGCGCCTCGAGGGATCTCTTGGCAATATCCACGTCTTCGAAAATGACTTCTGTGTCGAGGAGAACTCGATCGATCTGTCCCGCTATGCCTCTTTGCTTCTCCAAATCCTGGATCTTCTCTCTCAACTCATCCATTATATGCCATCCCTCCATGACTTCCTTTTCTAACTGCTTTCGCTGGTCTTCTGGCAGCGCCTTATACTCCCTCTGCCCTTGGACAATGCGGGCCCGGCGGATGTATTTCTGGGGCGTCTTGGACCTTTCAGCCTGCTTCACGACGCCTTTGAGTGTGTATCCAATTGGGCCCACAATAGCAGAGAGGTTTTTGAGGACTAAGCCTGTCAGTCCCATACCTGTGCCTTTGACAAATCCAATCGGTCCATTTTCTTTTGCTCCACGGACCGGCAGGCGAACTACTCCTGTGAAGCCATCGTAGACTCCATACGCAAACTCATGCCGGGCCGCCCGGAGGCCAGAATGGAAGCCTGTCACTCGAATGGGACGACGTACCGTATTGTCGCCATAGAGTCGAGGAGCATTGTGGAAGCCTTGTGCGAGTGCCATCGAGAGATCCACCGGCGCTTTGGCGATGGCAGTAGCTGTCCTTTCCACGCCGCTCGCTATGTCGCCTACATACTGACCTCCAGTGTCCCCAGCTGTCGTCTCGGTCTGCAACGAGGCAGCATCCACTGGGTCATCAGAGTCCGCCGGATTGTGTCGTGTTATGCTGTTGCTTGGCTTCTTAGATTTCTTAGCATTCCTCTGATTCTTCTTCTTGCTGATTGATCTTGTTCTTTTTGCCCAATGGTAAGGAACACTTGCAACGCCGTGAAATGCTTCACTGACTGTGCTAGCTATGGATCCGGCAATTCCTGTGACAGGTTCGCCGGGACCTTCAAAGTCATTCCATTCCACATGTCTGAGAAGTCTCAGGCACTTCCAGGTCAACAGGCCGTTATCCACTAGGATGTCGGCAGCCAAAGCACCCAGTTTTATATTAGTGTTTTTCAACTCCCAGACGGCTGTGTGATCTTTGAGAATGGAGCATCGCAAGAGAGTCGGGCTCCTTAGGCTCAGCTGTCTGTGAAACTCTTTGACGGCATTAACAGCGCCATCACCCTCCTCTGCGATTCGTTTGGCGATTGCTCCAGCAGCATCCCTTGCTTTTTCCGTAAGACAAAATCTAATGCCTTCAGCAAGCTTTTCGGCGTTCAGGTGTTTGTATGGCACTGGCTCCGGTCCAACATTTGCATTGCTCACCATCTTACCCCAAAAGTTTTGGTCGCCGAAGAAGGGAACGATCATTGTAGGCTTGCCACATTTGAGCGCAATGGCTGTTGTTCCGGCGCCTCCGTGAATGACGCATGCCTTGACTCTCGGGAAAAGCCAGTCATGAGGGGTGTTGTCAAGCATGAAGATGTTCTCCGGAACATCGTCACCACCAAGTCCACCCCAGCCCTTAGATACCAGGGCACGAACTCCAGCCAGCTCGACAGCTTTGAAGATCATTTGTGTGAACTTGTCTGCATCATCAACAACAATGGATCCGAACCCAATGTAGATTGGAGTCTCCCCAGCTGCTAGAAATTCCTCCAGTTCCTTCGGTGGCTCAAAGGTTGAAGCCAAGTCAAGAAATACGAAGCCAGCCACGTCAACCTCGCTTCCCCAGTCTTGTGGCTTCGGGACAAGGCCCGGTGACCACAAGTATGTGAATGGCACATGCAGGCGATATGTTGCACCCGGAGCCCAAAGAGTCGAGACAGG